TGAATTTTTTTAAAGCCGTTATAAAATTTAAAACTTTTAAAATCGTTACAAAATTTAAAATTTTGAAAACCGTTGCAAAGTTCAAATTTTCGAAAGCCGTTAAAAACTTAAATTTTTAGAAATACCTAATAATTAATAATTGAAAATTTTCCACTCACATCAATAAAATGCGTTCCATTCTCTCATATTCTCATAATCTCCTCTAGCAATATTGACGGAATAAATGTTTAAAAATACTTTTTCTGTTTTGATGTGGGAAACACTACGGAGATTAAAAAGTTCCAGTATCATTTTCTATCTCATGATTGATTCTCGATTATATAATGTCAAACGGATATAAATACACGAGTCAGTATATAATCTTCTATTAGAAATGCAATATGTGACGAGCCGCACGCACATCACAGCGGAGACACAAAATGATTGGGAAACTGAAATTAAAATTAGTTTGATTTTTCCTCCATCGTCGTAGTCATGGCCAGTCATCATCTTCATTTTCATCACATATCGACTAAATCAACGAATATAATAAAAGAGTCTCGAGGCTGGAAGAAGTAGAAGTAACAGACGAGAGCGAATGTAGCTTGTTCAAGCAATTTTACTTTGTAACGGTTTTCAAATATTTGAATTTTTTAATGGTTTTAAAAAAATTTGAATTTTAAAACTGTCGTTAAAAATTAAGTAAGCTTGAAAACTTCAAAGTTTTATAACGGTTTCTAAAATTTGGGAGTAGACTAGCTACAACCTTAGTCAAAAAACAATAGAAACACAGCAGATGAGAGGAAAAAAGATTGAGGATGCCTTAACCTTTCAAGCGTAAACGAGGTCGCTCTCATAAAAATTATGCTGCCATTCTGACAGTGCTGATGGAATAAGAAGTTATTTTATTTTCTGTACTCCATAGCCCGCTTCTATTTTCGATAACGACGGAATATATATAAAAAAAATACATGAAACAAAATATATATCCGATTACGTAACGACCTTCTTCTATATGGAGAACATTTTTGCTCATCATTTATATTATTTTTTTCAAAAAATAATAATAATAAAATAGAAATATATACAAGATTTGAATGCAGACATTCGAGAAGTGCCAGTTACGTAACCATCGAGTCATAGTAATTTTATGTCTACACATTATTATTTTTTTCTGTTCCTCTTCTCTTTGTCTTCCATAAATAGCAAAGAATATTTCTTGTAAGTTTTTTTTTATCATGTGAAAAAGAGAATGAAGACAAAAAAGGAAGCTAAAGCAGAACAGAAGAGAATTTTCTTAAGGCGTTATACGATTTAATTTATTTACGGTCTGCATAAGATACGAAGACAGTTTAAAAGAAGCATCTCAATGACATATTAAGCAATACCATTGCTGTTTGTGGTTTAGAGTAATTTAGGAAAGGATGTGCATTGTGTCCGAGTGCTCTATTTCTTTGAGAGGTTGTTGTCTGAACTGAATTAGTGGCAATTGAGATTATTCTTGAAAGTCTTTACGGTTTTGGATTGAAATGAGCAATTTAGGAGCACTTGGCCGTTATTAACTTTTGGATGTACAGAAAACATACATGCTAGACCTTATAGCATACATCATACTTTCAGGGATGAGTTTAGAAAGTACTTTATACAGGAATCTTGCTTTTTAATGATAAACTCAATGTCTAGAACTAGAATGGACTCAAAGCTGACAAGCAAAGCTCTAGTCCATACGTAAGAACTGCAATAAGATGCCCTATCTTAATAGCTGTCAACATTTACATCCAGTAAAGTATCTTAAAACAATGCGCTTCCAGCAAGTCCATCCAAACAACAATTTCAAACTTTTATTGCAATTCCACTAAAAATAGGAAGACAAGATGTGAGGAACAGCAACGATGCTCCCCTTGAAGTCATTCTCATGTGCATGATATATTTCTTTATTCGGAAAAAAATTCAAGGTTTTTATTGTCTCGACACACAGAAATAAAGGAATGAAATATGAGGAGCAAGAAACAGTTTTTTTTTTAATATAAAATTCTCATTTCTTCACACTTGTGTCATGCATGCATATGTATATACACGCTTTATTTTATTTTCATCACAATCATTAAATTATAATTTTAGCCTTTTGCTCTACACATAGCTGCGTGTGCATATAGTACTACTTCCATTGCCTTTTTCTTTTTCTTTATATTTTAATGAATGCTCAATTGAGAGGAAATTTCTGATGCTTTCAAATTCTTTCTTTTCATTGCACAGTGGCACTACCACTGAGTGTATGATGATTTTTTAATGTACAAATGTATCAAGTGCTGTGCTATTGTTTGAAGGATGTCAAGAGGGGTTCACTTTTGTTTACTTTGTGAATTTAAAATTGTAATGGAACTGGCACTGATTCCAGTAATAAGCAGATTGTGGATTTTGAGGTTAGATCCAAGGCAGAACCCATAAATTCATGAAATTTAATCCTTTCAACAACAAACATCAAAAACATTGCAAAATATGGCAGCAATTTCACAATTGGCACACCCCGCATCTATTGTTAGTCTCTACTGTCTACATACAGCAAGAAAATACTTAAGCAATAATAAACAAGAATTATTTTCCTATACAATTTTATTATTTATATATATTTAAAACCGTTATTTAAGCTTTGCATTTAGCCTTCAGTTTTACAATTGACTGCGTTCGAGCTCGTTCACCTTCACATCAAAACTAACTTTGCTGTTCTTTTCCCATCTACTTCTATCTTATTTTCTTGATGTAACCACTTCTTTATCTGTTATTTATGCAAAGTCTGAGCTGTGTATCGTGTTTGTGGGGATTTTATGGTTGCTATTTGATTGCTGGATTTACAGAATTCTTAGCAGAAGAGCATAGCGTGTAGCTTGGATTGGAATTACAACATAACAAGCCTGAAGCTAGTAAGAATCAGTAAGATTGAAATAGTATGAAGCAGAACATTTGTCACAGTCATTATGTGCAGCTCGGGACTAGTATAAATTGTATATCTTATTCTTCTTCAAAAGTTCTTAAATTTCAAAATATTGCTGCAACTCATCATTTCAGACAAGACCTTCAATCATTGAAATTTATGCTAAATTCTCCGTACTTTTTTGTTTATATAACATTGCAATATATGAAAATTATCTGAATGAATGAATTTTAAATTGTATGTAGGTCATAATATTTAATACATTTCGAGTAGACGGAGAAGCTTAATAAATTGTCAATTATTATAATTTGAAATTTTTTTTAATTTAATTTTCATGCTGATGTGCTATTTATGGAACATTTTTGCTGATGCCTTTCGGAAATATTCCAAAAATGTTTGATTGATCTAATTATGGATATTGTTTTGGATGATAGTAATTGATTCGGTGGATATTTTTGGATTCTGATGTGTTCAGCATGTTTGGAAATTTGCATGGCTAATGAATTTTGCGGGATTTGACTTTTTCAAATTTCAATTCATTAAAATTTTTGATTTTGAACTGATTTATAGATTTTCATGCTCATTTCTACAGCACAAAACCATAACTATAACAAAATAAAGATCCAGCTCAGCAAAATTGCAAGAAATAACTCAAATAAATACTAGATAAATAAATTTCACAAAAGCAAAACCCTCAACTGGACATAAATTGCTCTAACGAACAAGAACATTTCTCGTGGATATAAAGCCATTAAAAAAAAAATAAATAATTTCTCATACATCTATTGACATTTTTCGCCTCAATTTCCGTCTCATAGAACTGATAAGAAATTCCCTTTACTTTTTCCGTAAATACACAATGTTCGAGTGCTTAAAGGAGAAGTTCTAGAAATTTTTTTACAATTTCAACGATTTTCAAGTGTGGTTATTGAGCGATAAAACAATTATTTTCCTCATCCATATATCCATTTTATTGTCATGGACTTATATCATCAGTGGAGTATAAAAAAGAATCGAACAGAAAATTAAATTAAATTAAATGAAAATGGATGAATTGATTGACAAAAATGCTGTAATTGAAAGTGTCAATAATTATGCAACAGAAGCACTCAATCATTTTGTTTTATTAAATTTAAAAAATCATTTTTATTCCTTTTTAATTTGCACAATCATGCATGAGAGAGAAACTGACGCTTTTGGCTGACTACCTCAATAATTAACATGAATTGGCATCAGTGTTGCAAATGTAGATGTCTACACTAGATGAAGAATGTATATTCTTCAATAGTTTTCGTCTAGCTAAGAAACTTTCTTCATAAAGATCGATTCTACATGAAGATAGAAAATCTAATCTACAAAAAGATTATTTCTACATAAAGATTCTGTCTACGTAAAGATTCGATGTAGATGTCTACAATTCTACATTTTTTCCAGGTCTACATCAGAGAAGAATGTAGAATTGTAGACATCTACATCGAATCTTTATGTAGACAGATTCTTTATGTAGAAATAATCTTTGTGTAGATTAGATTTTCTATCTTCATGTAGAATCGATCTTTATGAAGAAATTTCTGTCTCAGAATTTATCTGATCCAGACAAATCGCCAGAATGCAACACTGATTGGCATTTAAATTGCCATTGAAGATTTTTTATTTTTAACGGTTATGAAAAATTTAAATTTTAACGCTAATGATAAGTTCATATTTAACCGAGCAGATGAATTTTGGATTTTTTAACGAACAAAAAAGGTTTAAAACTTAGGAATTGGGTGTTTAATAAATCCCAACATTCAATAACAATTCAAATAACATCCAGGTGTCAAAACCATGACTCAAAAAATTTGCAATATGTATTTCCAAAAATGTTAAAAGATTTAATTTTTATCGAAGGTTAAACGAATACTCGTGTTTCAAGACTGATAATTCAACCTTTTCATTAAATTAATGAACATCACTCATGTCTGTGACGATAAAAATCATAACAAAGATTGATAACATTATGTTCAAATTTGTAAGTTCAATGACAATTAATCAACAGTCGCTGACAACAATAATTACAAGAAATTGCAGAAATTGTAAATAAACTCACCACATTCTAAACTTTGATTGCAACATTTTAAAGCCTCATCGAGTAAGTTTTGCTGAAGATATCGTTCAGCCTCATCGTTAAGTTCTGATGCCTTAAGAAGTGGACTCCACCATTTCTCAACAAATCGTCTAATTAAAATGTCCTGCTCAAATCCAATACCGAAGGTTTCACTGTCATTTGACACACTATCATGCCATTGATACATATCCACATCACTAATATTTGACATATCTACACTATTCTCATTCTCATTTCCATCAATTGATGATAATTCTGATGTTATTGTTGAATTTTTAACAATTGCTGTCGATGGCATATTAATATTATCTGCGGTAATTGTTGTCGTGGATGATGATGGTGATGGTTGCTGTTGTTGATGATGATTATTTGGCTCTTGCTGTTTATTATTATTATGTAGTATTGCGGTACTGATGATAGGAAATTTTTGTCCACACACAATACATTTTGTACGTCCGAAGCAGCACTCTCGACAATATGTATGACCACATAATGATGTGACTGGATATTTTAATACATCCTCACACACAGGACAACAAAGTGGATCAACTATTTCATTATCAGACATACTTGATGATAAATTATTGTTGCTGTTGCTGTTGTTGGTCCTTTTGTTTACAATAAATTCAATTATTGAACTAGCTAAGCACTTGAGTTTCTCTACGGGTATAATTTCACATAATTGATAACAAATGTGTGCATAAATGTCTAATGCCTCCTTTATTCGTGCACATTTCGCGAGCGAATCACCATAGCCAAAATAAAGTTCTGTCGACTTTCGTCCTTTCTCGCGCAATAGTCTCTCATAAATTTCGCATGATAAAATATAATTGTGATTTTTAAATGCATCTTTTGCCAATTCCAAGAGCGTTGCCATTTTTAACTTTATAACTCTTATTACGGAGGATGTGTGGAAATGAGGAATAATTCACTACAAAAATAATTTTTTTTTCACACTCAATTTTTTTTCTTTACTCCTTTAAGCACTATAAGTAAGCATTATTTGCTAGCTATATAAAATAAAATGATAACGGCTACGCGTTATGTCATCAGCATATTCTCTGAATTATTTATGTAATCACAAAGATTTTTTTTTCTCTCAGCCACAATAAAACTAGAACCGGGTGAATGATTTTAATCTTAATCGGCGGTGACAATATCACTCAAATTAATTGATGATGTAATCAGCACAATAATTTTTTTTTTATAATTCATAAATTCTATACACGTATATATGATATTTTATTATGTAACAACCTCTAGATTTTCTCCATAAACTGCTCTTTCTCTCTCACTTCTCACTCATCAGATGTGACTTTGTAGTTGCCCGACACTCCAATATTCTTGGAAGAATCAAGCGATTCATAAAATAACACACAAAAAAAAAAATTACGCGGCACAAAAGAAAAACTGATGATGATGATGATTCAACAGAGAGAACGAAGTAAGGATGAAAAAAAAAAAACAAATTTTTTATGCAATCACTCGTTCTATATATTTTTTTTCCGTCCGAGAAATTCCGCCGAAATTTATTATGAATGCGCAAATGTCCACAGGTACTATCCTTTAGCACACAATTTATAGTTTACACTAATCTCTATTATTTTTTTGCTCCTTATTTTTTATTATTATGTGCCTTTAAGGATTATATAACGATACCATATACACATTTTAGGTATCAAAATGATTATTCAATTCTTTATGAACGAAAATGAATACATAAGAATATTATGTCATTCACAAAAAAAAAAACTTTTTTTTTTATAAGTAAAACCTTATTTTTTTCACTCTCTCGTTTCAATATTTTGACGTGTTTTTGCACTTTCAATGCACTATTTTCTTAATATTCTGCACAATCACTTTCTATTAATTCAATTTTTTATTATTAATTTATGAAATTGTAAAATTTTCATTTAATTTTTTACTGTTCTGTAATCAATGTTATACAACAATTTTTTTTTTATCGAGCTACGTTTGACGATGAGCTTCTGTCCCGTTCGAATGCTCACTAAAAATGAATATGAATGAAACAAATGCGACGTACAAAAGCGAATTACAAATCTTTTTTTTTTTTCCTTCGGTTCCTCTCTCGCTCTACTTGCTCTGAGAAAATGAGAGGATGAGAGGAAGTTTATCTTCGGGTATTGAGAGGAAATTTTGTGGAGAAGAAAAGTAAACGTAAGCACGTTTTTATTCAAACTATAAGCGTATGTTGTTGCTGCTGATGGCTAAAGCTATGAGAAAAATTATCCATACGGTGCTGCCTTCGAGATTTTTTTTTTTTCAAAATGTTCTGAATTAGAGAGAATGAGCAATGCTCTCGCTCTCATTTACAAACTAGTCATACTTAATACACTCAAACATTTACAGCGGAGTCGACTGAGTGAGCGGAGGCATTGTTGAATATGTACAACTTTTTTTTTTGTTTTATTTTACTACTAAACGGCATAAGAGCACTAAATTGTTACATACCGATTGTATATGTAATACTCGTTGCTTGCATTTGTGTGCTTTACAGTGATTGTGCGATACACTGTTAGTCACATAATCATATTATGCTATGTATACATCAACGATATTGCATACTCAAAAATTTGGTACTGCTACATGCTGTTCGCTCTCAATCAGACCGAAGATGACGATAAAGATATTATTTCATTTTGCTCATGGTGTAATTTTTCTTCTTTTTTTTTGCGGGTTAGGCTTTTTTTCTGGGTTACGTTACTAAATTTGTAAAAGAAATTGCTCATAATAACTTAAACTCTATTTAAAATAAGGTTTCTCTAAAATGGTAATAATCTTATGACGATAATAATTGCTAAAGTTAGCTGATCAAGCTCTGAAAAGAGTATTTTTATTATGTGGCTCATGCCTTTATGTTAAAGGTTGCATTTATATGAGTTTACTGGGAAAAAATCTTTTTCCAGATTTTTGGAACTTTTGAGTCTAAAGTTGAGTGGGATGCTATTCTAGCCACAAGCAAGGAACTTTCAAATCGAATTAAAAATGAGAAGCTTTCAAGTCGAGCTTCAAGTAATTAGCTTACATAAAGGTCGAGCTGCAATCTGAGAGCTTTCATGTCGCGCTACAAAATTAGAGCTTTCAAGTCAAGTTGCAATCTAGAAATTTTTTAAGTCAAGTTGCAATCTGGAAGCTTTCAAGTTGAGCTACAATTTGGGAGATTTCAAGTTGAGAAGCTTTCAAGTCAAGTTACAATCTAGGAAATTTCAAGTCAAGTTGCAATTTGGAAGCTTTCAAGTCGAGCTACAAATGAAAAGGTTTTAAGTTGAACTACAATCTGGAAGCTTTCAAGTCTAGCTTCAAACTGGAAGCTTTCAAGTCTAGCTTCAAACTGGAAGCTTTCAAGTCAAGTTGCAATCTGGGAGATTTCAAGTTGAGCTACAAGCTGGGAGCATTCAAGTTGAGCTACAAGCTGGGAGCATTCAAGTTGAGCTACAAGCTATGAGCTTTAAAATTGAGCTACAAATGAAAACCTTTTAAGTCGAGCAACAATTTGGGAGCTTTCAAGTTGAGAAGTTTTCAAGTCAAGTTACAATCTAGGAAATTCCAAGTCAAGTTGCAATCTGGAAGCTTTCAAGTCAAGCTTTTTACTGAGAGCTTTCAAGTCGAGCTACAAATTTCAATCTGGATGCTTTCAAGTCGAGCTTCAATCTTGGAGCTTTTTAGTCAGACTGCAAGCTAGAAACCTTCAAGTCGAGCTGCAAGTTTCAAACTTCCAAGTCGAGTGTAAAGCGGTGCTTCAGAAAACAACAAAGTAAAACTAAAGCAACGCTTTAAATGTAAAGCAAAGCCTTTCAATTATTTAAATTTAAAAAGAGACAGTTTTGAATAATTATAACAGACAACATACATGCATAGAACAAGCAGTTATGCTGAATAAACTACCATAACACAGAAACCATTTTAAAACCGATAGATGCAACCAGATAATGAACAAAAAGAAGAAAAAAATTGTTTGGGTAGATGTAAATATTTAATAATATTAATGATGGCAATAAAAGAGAACTTGTAATAAGCTCAAGTTGCCAATGTGAATTAAAACAGCCGATTATGTAAAGGTCAACCAAAACAACATTCATGCTTACATAAAGAGAAGTAAAATAGAGAAACGACTTTATTTCGAGATTTAAAGAAGTTGAAAAAAATGTGTGAGTAAGTATTACAATAAATTGTCCAATTCTCTCTCATTCAATGTGAATATTATTATTTTCGCACTATTTAGCACAACTGTAATAGTTTTTTTTTTATATTCGTGCGACTAATATTATGCACACTTACATACCCAAATAATATTGACAGTGCGATAGGTCGATCCCAATAATATTTGAATATATATTTATATCATAAAATGAAATACGAAAGAAAATACACAAGAAATTGTAAAAATGAGCACGTAATGTCGTCACGATGGCTTACTTTTTTTCGGTGTTACGACCTTCATGTTACCGAATACTTTTTATTTTGTGTGTGCCAATCGCTCATTTATCATGCAATCAAGAATTAAATAATCACTAGTGACATTTAAATTGAAATTCTATTGCATCGTTGAGATTGAATGATACAGCAACAACAACAACAACAACAACAGTAACAGCCAACAGCCGTGAATGGCATGAAGTAAAGATGTGAATGAGCAGTAGAGAAAAAGAAAGAAAGAAGGTAGCAAATATTACATGACACAATATTGTTTCACAAGCATACAGCTCATCTCAAGATCTTAATAATGATGATGAAAAAATATAAGTTGATTCATCTAGTTACGTTGATGTTTTTATAGGAGATTCCCTTTATAATTTTAATTTGGTGTGCTTTTGGCTGTTTTTCAAAGATTTTGAGATGTTGAATTCATTAGAATTATTTCTAATTTAACGTTTAAAATAAATTTGAATTGTTTAAAATTTAAATATAAAAAGGACGTAAAAATCGTTTAATTTTACAATTTCCCAAATTCGAACTTAAAAAGCCATTAGAATTTAAATCTCAAAAGCAGCTTGAATTCGAACTCAAAAAGCCGTTAGAATTCAAAATCTCAAAAGCCGTTAGAATATGAACTCTCAAATGCCGTTAAAATATGAATTCTCAAAAGCCGCTTGAATTCAAAATCTCAAAAGTCTTTAGATTATTACCAGCTTCTTTTACTTGAATCTCGAAACCTTTTAAATTGTAAGTTCAATCTATGATTGCAAAAAGTAAAGAATCATCAAAAATGACAAGCATATACAGATACAAATTATGAATCATGCAAATTGTAGAGCAAAGCAAATAGAGGCTATTTTTCATCATATTTTAATTTGAGAATACGACTCACAGCTCCTCTTTAAAAAGCAAAAGTTATGATTCATAATAAAGATGATGAAATGGCGCCTAATGTTAAGTGCTCATAATTTTTTGCTCTATGTGATTTGCAAATTAACTGACTACATGTGATATGTTTGCACATACATTTACAACATATACACGGCTTTTGATTTCTTTTCATCTCCCTCTTTTTTAAACGTTTGTTCTTTAGATCTTACTGCTTACTGTAAATATGAAAATTTTTACGTAATTAAAAATTATTTAATTAGCAAATTAACATTTTCAGGCATAAGATACATGTGTATATTTGTGATGTGCCTTTTAATAATTACTTCAAGTGAGAAATTTGAGATTACTGTTGCTACGTAAATATTACATAGAGCAGAAACCTTAAATGTTGTCTTTTTAAATGTAATTTGCTAGGATTCTTAATGGGAAAATGTAATTTTCATGGATTAATTTGTGCGAAATCACACGTAAGTTAGATTATACTTGTCTTTGTAATTAATAGCTTTTTGGAATATAATAAGAAACCTTAATGCAACCCTAATTTGTAAAATTAAGGAAACCTTAGTTCAAAATCAATAGAATCTTAGTTTTTGTTTCTTTATAAAGTAGAATTGGGAATAGAAAACGGAAACATAAGTTTAGACGCGTAATAAATTGAATTCTTGATGTGTGGTCTTTAATTGCTTACTTCAAAGAGAGCTAAGTCAAGTAGTAAAATGTTAATTCAAGTGTTGGCAATTCTGTAGAACATTAAAACAAACAAATAAGGCATAAATAACAATCTTATCTAGATCAGATATCATCTTGTAAAATATATTATAAAGATGTATGTTTGATTCCTTAAACCGATTCGAGTAGTTCATTAAAAACTAAAGTTCAAAGTTCGATTGAAATTCATTCAAGACTGACATTAGATCGTACAAGAGCAGAGTTGATATTCCAATCTCAACAGTTATCGAAGTGAAGTACTCAATAAGAATTCAAGCTGCCTAATGTAGCCTGCTTCAAATCGAATGATATTCAGATCATTTCAAAATTACAGGAAATGATTCAAAAGTTTTTTTATAAGTCAAAAAGTTCTTAACAAACGAAAAGAAAAAATCCCAAGTGATTTCCATGAACTCCCACTTCAAATATATATTCGATAAACGTCTTGCTCAATTTAGGATGTTCTTTAAAATATTCAAAACACCAAAAATATTCTCTAATTTATTAAACCACTCACGTTCCATCTCGAGAGAAGTTAAACTTATTTTTTTCTGATAAAACATTAATAAAGTAATTGATTTGCGGTCGCCTGTTTGTCGATGATTCA